TTTGTTTTTGCCTTTTTCTCATACTTAGGTTTCTTTACTCTAGGTATGTAGATGAAAACGGATTTCGTTTGAGTTACGATTAGGTTTAAGATAATATTAGGTTTCACTCATATCTGTTAAAGAAAATCTTTCTGTACTGATTTGTTACCAAAACCAGTCCATATTGTATTCATTAAAAATTATTTTTTTTAGTCTACAGCAGTGTCTTTACTTTTGCAAACTTCATAACTTTGTACATATAAAAACAGAAAACTTCTTATGTCATTTAACTGGTATAATGCAGTTAACCGGTTCAGTGCGGATGGCACGCCAGGCGTGCTAACGATTACTTTTGTGTGTGGCGTATGACACGCGAGTCGTGTCTTTTCAAAAATCGTTATAACTCGCTCAAATTGCGTTTTCGGAAGATTTATATTTATATTAATAGAAAATATTTATTATTTTGCAAGTAGTTCATGCCTACAGCTTCGTTTATGGATATTTTAAAAATTTAAATTTTTAGGGGTTGACAACCTTTTTCTAACTTGTACATGGTACTCTTTTTACTTTGTGTGTTTTAAAATCATGTTGTGGAAAAATAGTCTAATAAGTAACAAATAATAGCACTTATTGTGATCGCTCACAAACTCAAGTAGTAAATAAATTTCTGGAAAACAAGTCTCCTGTTAAAAAAAAAACAATGCGTTTGTCTTATTGTTTAATTTTGCTTAAAATGGTTGAACTGCCGTCTTATTATTATCATATGGCCGAATAGACCTACGAAGTACCATGTGCTCTTGTGATATGGTATAAGGTTTATTTTTGCTTGAAACAGTTCCAAACCGTTCATGCATAAAAAAATCGCTAATAAATAGTCTTTTGTCAATCCGCCGCCGTATAGCGCCGGTGTTTTCTTCCTTTTGAAAACACTTGTTTTGCTATTCTTACTAGACGTTTTCAGATCGACTTTACTTTTACATTTGTATAATATTAAGTAATATTTAACATTTGTAAATATTAATGAACCATAAACCTTATTTTTTTCCAAATTAAGGTTCTTGATTGTTTGATATTTACAAATGTTATTATTATTATTAGGTGAAAATTTAATTTAATAAAAACAAAGGTTTTCCAGGGTGATTTAGCTGTAACTACTTATATAAATGATTTTTTTATAAAACAAAAAATAGTACAAAAGGTTTGCAATCTCTGCATAAAAAAGTCACTTCCTCTCAATTTCAAAGAAACACGTAGAAAAATACGTAGTTACCCACTAAAAACAAATATCCTTCCGTTTGTAACTGATGTTTGATGTCAAATAAACTTATTTAGGTCTAAACAAGTGAAAAAAGCATAAAAAAGAATATCACTTTTACACATGGCTGATTGCACAATAGGCGTGTCATCAACTTCTGTGTGCCAGGCGTGTCATGAAATATTTGTTTACCACAGCTAAAAGTTGTCGAAAATCGGTGCCGCACAACGAATCGGTTAAGTAAGAGATTGGTATAGAGACAAAAGAGATACAGCAGACAAAAGCAAATAACAATATTTTAAACATTGATGAAATAAACAATTTTTTTCATTTCCTGTAAAGTTTAGATCTCTGGACATACAAGGTTATCATTCTACAGCAATATGTTCCTTCCAAATTAGCCTTTGGACAACAAGAATGCTTAGGTATTTTGTTACCGTTTCACAAATTAAATGATCAAAAGAACAATAATCAGAACCCCGAAAAATGCTTGGAAATGCATATTTTAGTTTTGTTATTCGGGCTAGTCGCCGCAGATGTAGAAAAAAATATTATATATTTGGTCTTAGCAGTAAACTATTATCAATGTCATGTGGTGACTTTATAAGTCACGACATGACAAAGGAGAAAGTTTTTGATATATCAGATGGAACTAAGGTTCCTTCTGATATATCAAAAACTTTCTTCCACAATGAATGCTATTGCATAGTGATATTTTGTTTCTGTTACTGCATTTGAATCTTTGCCTAATGTTTAATAAGCCTAAAGAAGAAATTGAGGTCATCTTCATATTATACAACGTGTTACAAAATACCCCGTAAAAATATAATTAATTATCAAAGCCAAAAATTTGTCAACCCTAGTAAGCTGTCATGACAGGGAACCAGATTATTTAACAGAAAGGCCTACGTACGTATTTTACCTAATTATTGTCTACTTTAATAGTTTTTCTATTTTTCATTCATAAATGTTTGCTACCTCAATTCAAGTACTGGCTTCAAAAAATGTCAAGTTGAAAAAAAATATGTTGTCAATTTCAAATCTTGGAATCGATATCCTACAACTGTTGCAAGGTTTTTAATTTCCAACATTTTTTGCAAAATAACGATGCTTTCTAACTCGGAATATTACAATATGATGTTATGCATAGGCCATGAAGATAGCAATTTAAATTGTGCTCGCGAACTGTATCGGCAATGATTTATCGATGGTAGACCACCCACTGAACAGCGACGGCTGCCTTTGTACCAGTGTTTTCTGAACATGTCAAGATGACTACATTCCACCGGCTCTTTTCACCGGTCTACTGGAAGTGGACGTCCAAGCACAGTCGACGCCAGGCAGTCTGAATAAGTGTTAGAGCATTTTGAAGAAGAGCCGACCACAAGTATGAGGCAAGTTGGAACAAAATTCAGTATAAACCATGAACAGTTTGGCGAATTCTTCGTGTATACAATCGTCACCTTTATCACCATCGCCGTACATAGGAGCTGATACCCTCCGATTTTGCACCCAGGAGGAACTTCTGCAAGTGGTACCTCAGGCAGTTAGAGGAAAACCCTAATTACGTAAACTATGTTCTTCGGACAGACGAGGCAACATTCACAAGGACAAGACTTTCAAATATGCATAACGATCACGTTTAGGCTCGCGTGAATCCACATGCTTCACTGCAGGGCAGATTCCAACACCAGTGGCGGCTGAATATGTGGGCTGGCTTTATGACGGGCATGTCATCGGTCCCGTCATTATGCCATGATGTCTGAACGGTAGCAACTATTTAACGTTTTTACAAAAGGAAATTGAAGAGGCAATTGACAACTTTCCTGTGATTACTTTGAGAACCAAAGAAACATAGTGTTTCAGCATAACGGAGCTCCGGCACATTTTGCTTGCAACGTACAAGAACATCTTAACTTCCCTTTCCGCGAGGATGGAGCCGCCGCAGAGGATCGATGCTATGGCCTGTTCATTCTCCGGATCTCACACCTTTGGACTTCTTTTTGTGGGGTTATGTGAAGGAAAGAGTGTATTTCACCGATTGCCCAACCGTTGCTGAGATGGAGCAGCGTGTTAGATCGGTTTTCACATCAATAACACAGACAATGATGCGAAATGCCACACAAGCCATATCTCGATGAGTGAGGTTGTGTATTGAGCAAGGCAGAGCACACTTTGTTAATGGACTCGTTATAAGGCCCCATTTAACCTCCTTTCGGCTTTACGGGTAGTTTTGTAACACCCGGTATATTTCACACCAGAGAAAATAAATATACAATGAAAAAAGACAAATAGTTATTAGACTTTCCATGGAGTTAATATACAGAGTCATTTTTCAAAGAATAGCCAAATTTTAAACTTAAGTTCAAATGTATAAATAATGATATACCATTGTACATGTGTAAATAAAGCTTCTACTTTTATTTGAAATCGTCCAAAATTGAATGTGCAACAACGTTTTTGCCTACTGATCCACCCTTACTATTGTGTTTGTGTACAGTTAAATCAGTTAAAAAAATGCATTACCACACATTTTGAATTTAAAAGATAAAAAGGACAGAATGGTTGAGTTTTTTTTTAATAAATTTTTCTTCAACATTTGCCTATATTACTTACTCTGAACCTTGTCAGAAAATTTGGCCAGTTATTGCAAAATAACTGTAAAAACTAAGCCCTAGTTAATAAGGCACATTTGTGATAAAAAGATGAAATGTTTTCATCATTTCATTTCGTTATGTAAGTAATATGAAAATAGCATAAAAACTAAATAAATTAAAATCAAATTAAGATTTTAATATGAAATGATAACATTTGTCCTTTGACAAAAATAAAGCTGCTAATGGGATTATAATAGACTGTGCAAACACTAAGCTGCAAGTCATTTTATAAACAAGAAAATACACAACAAATTATGTGAAAATAAATGCTTTAACCACAAATAATCTACCTACTCAATAAAATTTTTGATAAAGTAAAATACAGATAAGTTTTCCTGTCGCCTGAATAAACAAAATTATCAACGTGAATAGAGTCAAACATTAAAGTATGTATAAAATTATTTTACTCTAATAACTGAAATAAAACCTCTGAACAACATTTGTCAATCAAGTAACTGGGTTGTCTTTTAACTGACAAATAAGTAAGTCAAAACAGAACATAGAAAACACTGGCTTTTCATTGTACAATGTGTAACAGTGTAATAGTCTGATATGTATTTACAGACAGGGACTACTAAACAGTAATCACACATGTCGCACCGTTGACTAATTTTACGATTCAAATGACACATATGAGTATCAAGGACTGCAACAATATCAAAACAAGTTACCTGCAGATGAATTTGCATCCAGTGTAATGAGAAAACATCACAAATGTCACACAATTATCGAAGCCTAGGTGCCGGCATCTATAAAAAAATTGCACTAAACAATATGCGGGTGTCACAAACTTTTACACGACCCTACAAGTCAGGCATCTAATAATTGCACTGACAATACCTAACCCGTTTTATTTTGAGGATGTTCTAAAATCTGCAGACATCGGCTGTTCTATAGCACTGAGAATGGCGCATAGCTGAATCAAGTTGAATAAATAGAGTAAAAATCGCATTGACAAAACGTCAATCATATAAAGAAAGCGTAATTACAAGCAAAAGGATATGTATAATACCTTTAAATCCAAGGAGATGATAACATCAACTATTTTATGAACACAAAACTTTTCACTTTATATATCTAATTTGTTATTGGATTCTATAAATACTTACAAATAAAAATCTGGAATCACACCATTGTTTTTTCTACTGCACAATCAGTAAATTGATGTTGCCAATAACGAAAAAAATATTACCGTAAAAAAGTGGGTCATCAATGAACACATTTCTCCATAGATTATTAATACACATAGGTCTCTATATCTTATTTTACATTCACTGATTTTAGAGTGTATTTAATAAATAGGTATAATATTGACAATTAAGGATTTAGATTTGGCAAATATTTACATTTAAAAATTCATTTCACTTTTGTTATTATTTAACTTTTTAATAAATTTTACAAAATGATGGTATCATTGGGAATCATTACAAACAGCAGAAGGAGTTTTGGCGGGAAATTAACCGGCGGCGGTTTGCTGCTCCTGTATTATTGTTTAAATAATGGTTTGAAGTGGACTTTGATATGTAAAAGTGTTGCGATTTTGTGTATTAAGTGTCTACGCATGTGAACTATTAGTGGAAACAGTGAAACAGGTGCTCTGATGGTGATGGATTCTCAAGATAAGCTGTTTGTTTGCATAGGCACCTTTAGATACCATCGCCAACTATCAGCTGTCTGCTGGATCAAGTTGCCGCCAAAATCTCCCAAGAACTGCACAATGTGACGCATCAACATATTGTGAAGCAGTATACTATGAAGGAGTGGGGAAATTACAATAAACCGAATAAAAATACTTAAGACTTGGCCTAAAGGTCTAGATACCAGGCCATAAACTCCAAAAAAAAAACAAACAGCAGAAAAAGATAGGCCCATCATATTAGTCTGTGGATAGGTCCTTGTATAAAATTATAACTATAGATGACTGTATATTGCTCGGCATTAACTAGTTAATCCGTTAATCGTTAATTTACTAATTTCTTAATAATAAACGAATTTAACATTTCGACTAACGGATTAACTTTTAAGTTAACTTTAAAAAATGTTAACGGTCTGGTTAACTTCCGTTAAATTTCCTCAAGTCCGTTAATCGTTAATCCAGTACTTACTATTTACCAAGCACCGCACCGCACCACGCCACCATCGCCGTGAAAAACACGTTCTGACAAGTAAGTTCGGTGTCGCGAGTAAAACGAAACTAGATAGGTTTCTAGGTAGATAGGTGTGAGTGAGAAAAAAAAACTGCGAAGAACAAATTGATTCATATTATTATGTATGATTTGTTTGATTGATTGTTCCGCCTAGCGCCGGGGTTTTTCGTTAAGTATACAAATACTACGTACTCTTTGGATTTTGTGTACTGTCCGTGATAGTTTACATCAGTGCAGTGTGTGTACTAAACAGTGTAGATACTGTGCAAGTTGAAACCATATCATAGAATCGGATTTCGGTTCCACCACGGACGAAAACATATTAATGTTCATGAAGGGCAATATACATATTATGCCAGATAATTAAATTACACCCTCCAATTATACACGTCTTTTTTTGTACCTAACCTACCTAACTTCCAGAACCCAATCTAACAGTTTTTATAAGTAGATCACTAGCACAACGATATAATAAATGCAATTTTAATCACGTGTTAACGCATTAACGATTAACGTTAATTTCCGTTAAATCTTCGGAAATGTAAGGCTTTAAAGTTTAACGACGTTAAATTTTTTAGTAACGGTCTACCGATTAACGAAGTTAATTATTTGTTTAACAGTGCCCTGCTATGTGTATATATACTAGAGAATTATAACCATGTAGTAGTGTCATTAGTTAAAAAGTCTTTAATAAATAAATTAAAAACAAGTGATAAAAAACGCAAAAAGTTTAATGATGGTTCATTCCTTTGATCTCGAAGGTTCATTCCACGGGATACTTAATACAAAATTCATTCTCACTTTTTTTTTTTAGTAAAACATAATATCTAGTGAACTCTGAACATTCACTCACTTCACTCAACATGAACTTAAGTTGACCGTTGAAATATTTATTAGATTCGTGGAAATGTTGAATATGCTTACATTTTAAAATACAGTAATGTTACTGACGGCGAGGGGAGACGCCGCCCCGTCGCCCCTTCATGCCCCGTCGCCCCTTCATACCCCGTTGCGCCCCGTGCACCCCGCACACCGCCCGAATATCACGTCATGCCGTCGACGAATCAGCGCGTGGCATACCTCACAACGCTACTCACATGTCGAGACACTCTCTTTCGAGATATAAGAAGGGCGTTTTGGTCTGTGAGCTCTTTATTTCGGAAACGGCACTTGAAGACAACAGCAAGAGAAGAAACATCAAGAGAAATCAAGAGAGAAGAATTAATACTCCATTGAAGTTTGAAGATTCCCCTCTGTGTATATAGTTTAGTGAATGCCGCATTGTAAATAATTGAATATATAATCGTCTACAATACCCTCTTTTTTTGAACAGTCCCTAGTGTAGACTACCTTTAAATAACATCAGTCGTCATAGTTAGTCAATCAGTCAGTTAGTTAAAATCATACAGTCCACTGCAGTCCCTTATAAGTAACTTACTTTGTTTCATTTTATCGTTCTTAACATCCATTTAGTAAATACCAAATATTCCATAAATAAAACACAAACGAACAAAGAAGTAATTAATCGTATTTGTGAGAGATTGGACAAACTATTATGCTGTATTTTGAGAGACAGATATAACAGATTAAAAATAAGAGAACAGACTGTGGGGATCCATGTTAAGTTTTTGTTTACAGGGCTTATTTTCGTTCTATATTGAACAATGGCGATCAAGGGTGCTATTGGGTGCTATGCTTTCGTAGAATGCACTATAGTCGTATTTTTAATTAGACGAAGTCAACTGACGTTTACTTGTTGTCAGTTTTTGATGAAATAAAAATAGTGTTGTGACAAAGTGAATGATTGAAAAACTCCTGAATTAATGAAATTGCCTCGATTGTCTAGTGAATAGTTAGTGTGCTGAACTGCCGATATCGGGTACGGGGTTCGAATTTTAGTCGTGCTTTGTACATACCAACGAGTTTTCGACGACTATGTTCCTATAATATCTACCTATACTGAATACCGAGTGTTTTAAACATTAAGGAAAATATTGCGAGGAAACTTGTAAGACTGTCCTATTTTCAATACATCATGTAGTTGTAACTATAGATGTATAAAATATAACAATTATAGGTAGGTAATGAGAATAAAAAAAATCGCTTATTACATAATTTGTTTTTATTCATTATCAGATAAAAAATCATCACTATCGCTTTCGGTGACATTAATTAAAAATCTGTCAGTAACATTGTCAATCATGTGGTCGAGACCATACATTTTGTCTTCTTTTTTAATTATATGAGACACGCAGCTATTCCATTTTTCAGGTGTGATATGTTGAAGTCCTTCTTCAAAAAGTTTTTTTACTTCTGTCATTTTGAAGGTTTTGTTATTTCTTGCAACATATCCTTTAGCCTGCGCCCATACCAACTCAATGGGATTGAGCTCACAGTGGTATGGGGGCAGACGTAAAACAATTATCCCATGCTGCGCTGCCATCTCGTCCACAACATACTTATCGCAATGTTCTTGCTTGTGCTGCCGTACAATGTCTATAAGAGTAGCTTTAACCATTGTTGCTTCGAATAAAATATTTTTGCTCGTTAGCCACTCTAGTATTCTAGGTTTAGTCCAAGACATTTTAGGCAGCGATTCTAGTTTCCTGGAGTGGTAGGGGGCATTATCCATCACTACTACGGAATTTGGTTTTAGTTTTGGCAAGACCCCCCTAAACCACTTCTCAAAGGAATCGGCATTCATCTCTTGATGATAATCTTCTTTATTTTTTTTGGCTTCAAATATTAATAAGCTGTCTTCTACGAATCCTTCTTCCCCGCCTATATGGCCGACAATTAATCGTTTGCCCTTTCCTGAAGGCTGTTTTAAGCCAGTGGTCAAGCCATCTAGGAAGGCCTGGCGGGACGATAACACTGTCTGGTCAATCCATGCCTTCTTCGGTGCATGACCTTCAAGATAGTGAAAAATATCAATTAATTATTGAAAGTACAATTTAATGTAAAGAAAACAGAAAATTGTAATTACCTTCGTTGATCCAGGTTTCATCTTGGTAATAAATATACCTTCCTTCCCTTCGATACTCTTTAATTTTTCGAAGGTATCGCTGGCGCCATAGAATAATGTCCTGTCTGTCAATTAAAATGCTGTGTCTTGATTTTGTGACATATTTGAAATTTAAATGTTTCATAACATTTCTTAATGTACTCCAAGAAAAATTGGGTAAGTCTGGGTCTTCATTGACAACCTTAAGAATCTGTAAAGTAATAAAAATATGTTTTGAGTAAGGAAGTCTACGCAATCTAATACTTTGGTTTTACAAAGAACATTATGGTGGACACAGAATATAATGCAGTAGAAGGAATAAAGTTTAAGTTACCTTTATAATGGTGGGTGACTCATTTGCATAAAAAAAATTATGTACTTTTCGCCTTATAGCGGCAAAAGTAAAATCGTCTAATTTATCTTTGAAACTGTGTTTCGGTCCACGTTTCTCGGGAGACTTAAATTGTTCATTTTCTTTGCATTCTTTTAACACACTGTAAACTGAGGTCACACCAATTCCCAAAATGTCAGCTGTTTTCGAAACACATTCTTTTTTTTCGGGGGCCTCAATAGGTAATAGTGAAGCAGCTTTTTCCTCAAATACGTGTTTGTAGACGTTTTGTATCATAAGTTTTTCGGTAACGCTTAAAGCAATCCGTGGTCTCTTCTTTCTTGGAGACAATCTTTGGCTTGACGTGCTTGGTTGAGGATCCATATCATTTGTACGAAACAATATAGCAACAAATAAACACAACAATTACCACAAACACAACGTAACGAAAAACTTAACAAAAACAATAACTAAACAGCGTGAGCGCAGAAAAAACATTCGTGCTATCAGACCAGAGGTTAGAAGCCGAATAACAAACAAAATGGCGACCGACGCGCGCGGCGTTGATCGGTGTTGGCAGTAGTCGCCGCGCCGCGCTTTGTAATAAAACCTCAAAAAACTGATTGTAGTTACATACTACTAGTAACTTATATCAGAGCACTTTTATACAATT